TTTGGCTGTCGCGAAATCGAATCGAAGAACACCGATCTTTTTTATAATGTACACGTAGTAAATAATACGTGCACATGAGTATAACTGGCCTTACGGAACATGATCGGTTTTCGCTTGGAGAGAATCTTTCGAATAATTCAGTCGATCCCCGAGTCTCTCTGTCTGCTTCTATCGCTCGACGACGAATGAGCGAAGTCTCGACCTTAGAGAAAGTTGGCCTTTAGAACGGAACAAGGGCGCACGGATTCGCACGTCAATTAGGAGGAAGACGACTGCTGCTACCGACCGGAGGGACGTGGGCTTGTAATTGTCTTGACGCACAATGTAAAGGATCTTATTTCCACCGACCAATCAGTGCAATATTATATCATTCAAGTTTTCACGATGGAATGTTGAGCTTTATAGTTTTTTCGATGGAGAGCTACGTTTTATTTTGTCGATAAACCTCAGACTGCGTTTCTGCGACGGGAATTGATGCTCAGTCAATTGCGGTTCCTAAAAATCGTATGACCCATGCTATCGAATGAATCGAACAGATGTTATCAAGCGATGAAGTGTGCCGTAGATTTAGAGAGGTATGTAGGCAGAAGAATGACTGTTCATCGAAATGACAGCAATGAAATATCGTTTTGGAAAAGATGGTTTGAAAATGAAAAAAAAAAAAACGGCTTACGGTACATTTCTATCGCTTATTAATTCTTATTATTTTTGAGCTACTATATACTTGGAAATAATAACTACTAGTCTTATACACCACTTAATTTGCAGAGGCAATGCGATATTGCATGAACTGAGAATAGTTTTATAAAAATTAAGCGATTAAATTGAACTTTTCACACGTATTGCGGATTTAAATGTTGATAGGAAGTGCGAAGTTGTTGTCGGCGCCGATTTATGATCAAGCAATGATGTAAACTTGGTGGTTGTTCGACCACATAATATAGGATTACTTGAGTTGCAATCTCCGTGACAACATAAACGAAATTGTTACCCTGAAATTTGGCAACAATGATAACTTTCATTATAAAGTTTAAATTTAATTTGAACTTTGAGCCACACACATGTGCCTACATCTAAAAAAAATTATAAACATTAATGCGTTTAGAAAATGATGAAATAATCCGATATGTACACTGAAATATAACTGCTTTAAACGAAAATTTAATATATTCGTAAAATATAATGCGTGTCTATTGCAAAAGTTGAAGCAGAACTAGTAAAAAACCGTCACAATGAAAAGCCGAATTGACAGTACAACGTAGTTAACGAGGAGAAAAAAGGATATATTGAAAACTGCAATAAATTAACGAAATTTACGAGGCAATAAAGCGCAGAACAGGGAGGTATCAATGATAGCGCTCGGCATGCGCATAGTGCACACCTGAGCGAGTATTTTGGGTCGCTCGGCCAATATCGTTACAGTTGACACACATATGCGTAGAGGCATGATACGGCTACTGCTGTCGTCGGGCAAAGAGAGCGAAAATACCGTCACTTTGGCGCAGCTTTTATACAATTAGAGTTAGCTCGAACCTCGACTTCGCGTGGCCTCTTCTCATAGAGACGGCAACGAGAAACAGCACGTACAGGCGAATAAAAAAAAATGGTCGTTCGGCTCTACGCACGCAGCTTCGTCCTTCACCAGCACATTCTTATTACATTTATTATTGCATTATTTATGCTGATCTTTCCAGAGACATTTTCTCATTAAATTCGGGGCTTCCGAATATACGCGCATACACACACGCACACACACACACACATATGTCGATTTACGAAATGCCCTTTCGATGCACACACAAATCCGTGCGTATCAACCATAAAGGGAATACTCTACACGCATCGTGTTGCCAGAGCACCATGAAATCGCTTGTAGCGTAAAGAAACGCGTGTCGTCGTCGGCAGAAGCGCACAGGAACTCTGGAGCGGGGAGTTTGTAATCGATATTGCGTCTGAAGCGATGGTGTTACTCCGATATGGGGCCGTTTTTTTCGCATTTTCGACAGTTTGGCAAAAATATTCCCCAAGCATATCCTCGCCGACTGGCTGCAGGATTCTTAATTAACACGATCTAGGCTATAGGAGCACGCCCTGGCTGACACTCGGCAATCGATATATAAGCGCGTCTGGAAATAGTCCCCCCCCCTCTCTCTTTCTACATCGGCTGGCGGATGAATAATGAATATTTTTTTTAAATCGATGTGGCCCATTGCAAGCGCGTAATTGATTTTCTAATTGCTCATGCATATCTCAGTTTGCCGAAAATCATATGCATCATAAGCTTGCAACTTGAAAGAAAGCGCAGTAATAATTCTACAATTATTTGTACGTACTTTTATTGTCTGTATCACTCTGTACTGAAATCGTTACGAGCGTCAATTTCATACATTTCAATTTTCATTTAATGGTGATTTCGTTTCGATAAATACCGAGTTGAGTATTCATGTTTGCTAATTTTAGCTACCATTCGACCAATAAAATGAGCTCTATTAAAGAGAATTAACGTCTTATCAACGTCAAATAAATAAGCGTATATTCATCATTGAAGAAAGCTGAAGTTAGATTATCGCTCGAGAAAGTTGCGGTAATGAAAGCAAATTACGGAAAGCTAGCGTCCTTCGGGAAAAGGGAGACTTATCAAAAGTTTCGCAACGAACTTCACAATATTTCCTATTAAATAATTACCGCTTAATATGACAGTTATGCAAAATATTATCGTAGCCTTGGTCATCTCATTGTGCATTTTTATAATTATTTTTAGCACCTCGGACCGTCAATTTTTTTGTCGACTTTTGAAGTTTGTTCTTACAAGTATGCCACGTGCGAGAGACAAACTTATTTTCGCTTATCCAGAAAATAATTTCTTCCTTGATTTATGGAAATTCGAAAACCAAGTGACTTGAACTGAAGTTTTTTCATAGTAAAACTGATTGTGAGTTAACGGACAATTTGATTTGTTCCAAAAAGTATTTTAGACCGTTATGAAAATTAAATCAGGCAGCCATTAATTTCAAGCCACGTATATTTCTCACAGTACATTCGCTTGTTTTCTGGCAATGTTGGAGGAGCCATACGTCTCTCGAATTGCATTGTTGAATCTATAATTCGAGCCGTAATTGAATCAGCCACGCGCCTGCCATTTCACGTGTACCTATGCAGGTGGAGTTCAGACAATTTGCGACGCCGCCGTTGTCGTGTTTCACAAATCGAATGCGAAGTGTGTACACGTGTTGCGCCGCAAAGCATTCGATTGCGCACTATATACACGTTGATGAAAGAGCGACTACGTATGTCGACGATGTTTTATTTTACTCCTTGACGATCGTTATGAGCGATTGTTTTATCTCTGTGAATTGTGAATTGGATATTTTCGATAATGAACGCTTGAGAAAGGGACGGTGCTCGTTCGCAAATCAAGACGATTGCGCGTAATAACCGTTAAATAAAAACTTATTTTTTGAGATGTTACTTCGCAAGAAAGTGGCATTGAACAAGACAAGAGCCACATCGAATCTCGAGGCTGACCGGGTTACAAAAGAATCGCGTAGGCACCAGTCGAAAGGTAGATCTTGCGCAGACGCATGGGATTCGGCCCGGCGGACGAAGAAGACGGAACAGCTCGAAACGCCGGTCGGAGCGCAGCAATATAACCCTCTGGCAATTCGTCGTCGAGAGAGCATTGAACGAGCCACTTGGCAAACATCGGTAGCCCGAGCTTCCAAACGCGAGCGACTCCGGGACAAAGCGCGCGCTGTTTATTTCCGCGGCACGCGAAGCGCCGATGCTCGATAATGGAAGCTCCATATACGAAGCTAATCGCGTTAGCCGCCAAGAGACTGCGCGACGCCCCATTGCTGTTTACGCGTCCACGCGCAACTCGCGCCAGGATCATCGCTGCTACAACTCCGAGCTGTACTTTGCGTGTCTCTTTTTAGATCGACGAATGTGCAAAGGATCGGGCAGCGAGTGGGGTCTAAAGAAAAAAAAAATCGTGCCTTTGTTTGCCTTGACACGGATACTTTGGATGAAATCCAGCTACTGTTTATCATGTTTGTCGGCGCTTCACGGAACTCGCCAATTCCGCAGATAATTGTTTGACGTTCGATGTATACTTGTTTACCGTAAAAGCTCAATGCCACGTGTGTGTGTGTGTACGTCTGTGTGCTAAGCTGGTGGCGTGTATTTACTTTTTCGTTAAAAACACTTGCCGCAGAAAAGAAAATTGATTGATTCATTTAGAAAATTGAAGCGTGAGAGCTGGTAGTCGTTCTCCTGGAAAAAGTGCTTGCCACTACACTCGAGCCGCAGTTCTTAATAGCAACCCTTGTTGTAAAAGAACTTGTATTAAACTTCCGAGGCTCGATTGCACGTAGTTGTACAGAAAAATATCTTTTCTCTCTCGCGCGGCGTTGCGATGATTAGCGGCTGAACGATCACTTTCACGATGTGATGAATCGTTCTTCAAAGCGGTACCGCATCGACGAGTGTGAAGCGATTATTTTATCGAGAAAAATTATTACGTGAAAGTAGTGTTTGCTTTCGATCGTCCGGATTCATTTCGTGCAGATACCGGTTCTACGCGGATTTTTACATTTTATTTATTTAACATGATGCTTTTTTACGCGAACAGGAAATATAAAGCTTCCTGCAGAATATTTGATTGAAAAATAATGAACTTAAATTATTTATTTGCAAGAATTACACGCTTGAGATTCTGCCCATTATTGAAAAATTATCAAATGTACAATTGTGCCGTGTATAAGTATATCTTTAATCGTTTAATAAATTATCTGTAGAAAAAAATGATGTCGAATAATATTTCATTTTTCATGAAGTATTTTTCGTGTTCAATATATAAGTATTAGGTCAAATAATAAAATTGATAAGAAAATTTAAAGATTTGTGTACAGTCGGTATCTGTGTGCATTGAACACGGCCTCCCGTTCGATATTTTTAAATGTCGCTGTGAAGAAGTCGCAGAGCACTCGCAATAAACTTACCACAATGAAAAATACTTACGATCGCTAAAAAAAGAAGATTAAAAGACCAGTCTACGAATCCTGACGTTTCTGCAAAGAAAAATAAAACAGTATATTACTAGAGAAACTTACAAGAATCATAAAAAAATTGCAAATATTATCTTTATTTATAAATTTATTTTGACCGCCCGTACGATATTGCAGAGTTTGTATTACAAAGACACCGGACTCGTTCAGCTTAATTGTCTCGATAAAAAAATCTAGAAAGTGGGTTAATACTGACTGGCATACGTGTGAGTTCTCTTTACTGAGCGTTCACTGTGTAGAAAGCTCTGCTCTAAGAACGACAGTAGAAAAAAAATTACTGCGGGTCGCGTTTTCAGAGCCAAATTAAATGTCATCTTTCGATAGAAACAATTGAAAGCGTAATATTGACCAGACGATAAAATAACTTGAAAGAATATCAGCAAAACGTTGAAATGCCGTTTCGCGAAATGCAAATTATTCGTGTGGTGAAATCGCGTTGAAATTGAGTGAAGCGCAACAGTAAATGTTTGCTTTTAAAAGAATCAAAAGGTTAATGTATCAGTGCAATCGCTGATGTGATGAGATATTAAAGAAGTTCATTAGAGTTCAGCTCGGATTGCAACAATCAAAATTATACGACAACCTTTATTGGCGCTGAAAATAGGCGTCCAGCACTCTCGATCGAGAGAGAACCACAGTGTGCGAAAAAATAAACCGACCAGCAGAGAGAAAGAGAGAGAGAGAGGGAGAGAGAGAGAGAGAGATCCGGAAAGCACGAAGCACTCGCCATCTCCGGCAACGAACGAGACTCAGTAATCCCGTTTCCCACTTCTCTCTTACTTTCGTCCGTGCGAAATAAAAGAAAGCAATGAATTTTCACGTCTCTCTCTCTCTCTCTCTCTCTCTCTCTCTCTCTCTCTGTCGGCGTGGCCACCTATTTTTAAACGACCAAGAAAGCTTGCGGACCACGCGCAGCCAGTTAGTCAGTCGAGTGAAGTTAGTCGTGCGCGCGCGCGCACATACACAATCACACACACGCACGCGCACGAACAATCATATACGCGTGCGCTCAAGTGCACCTTCCCTGGCTTTTCCGCCACCTCCTTAAAAGCTTCAACTTTTCAGTATTGGATTTAAAAGTCAAGGTTCAGCCAGTGACATTGACGGCAAAAGTTGAGAATAATATGCGGTTTTGCGATGGTGACTTCCGTGACTTGTTGATGCTGCTGCTGGGCTTGAGTAATAAGTCTTGAGTGATGTGCGCTGTGGTTAGTGTCGAGCATTCTACAGGGGCTTTAATCGTGCAGCCCCCGAGGGAAAGCTGAGCTTTCACTCCGCGTGCTTTCCTCCGTTATTGTTGTGATCTTTATAACTCGCTTAGATACGCTTCAGTTAAGTCTTGAAATTCCCGTTTAATTTGATTTTCGCGAAAATCCACATGCTCACTGTGCGCGCTACCGTGTCGGATATTTAGATACGTATTTAATACTTGAACGCTACGCGCGAGTAATCTGGCAAAAGTAACAAATGGAGATTCAATGGAAATGTTGCAGAAAAATGGTCGAGACACTTATGGACAAAAGGGTACGACAATTTCAAGACGCATAATACGAGCTCGGGGGCAATGAGAGTGGCGTGAAGATTAGGCCTGCGGCCGCCGGAGCAGTAGCAGCAGCCCCGCAAGGCAGTTCGGACAGCATAAAACGGCGTAAAACGGTAACGCGCGTAAAAGTGCAGCCGGCAGCGCTGAGGTATGGGCCCTTGGGCCTTCGGCGTGCCGCTCGCCCTTGTCTCCGCTCTGGGACTGCTGCTCAATGCCTACGTGCTCGTCGTCATTGGACTTGGCAAGCAGGTACAGTCTGTTTTGTATATTTCGAGTGGTCGACGATGATATCGATGAGTTTCGAGCTCCTCGGTACGAGGCAACGGGTACGCGTAAATCATTTATTCCAAACGACACGGAAAACACGCGTAATAAAGGTCGTCGTAACGTCAAGCTGATTTTAAACGATTCGTAGGACAAACGAACGTGTCGATTAACAATTTCGGGAACAATCCACTACTATTCATGTGAATCATCGAATTGAGTCACCGTGATTCCCGCAAGCTTGGGCGTGCGCTTGATTCATTTGTTTACAGTATCGTTAGGGAAAAACTGATTCCATAGAGATTTTTCGAAAGTGTATACAGCATGTTTACTGGAGCTCCAAAACTATGATATAATTTCAAGGTTTGCTAAAAGTTCTCAACGACAAGAAATTAAAATGCGATGAGTTTGTTTTGAAAAGGGAAAATTAGATAAGAATGAGCGAGGAGTTTATGGAGTGTTCGAAGACGATTGCATCGTATCAATGTTCTCTTAAGTTCGGATATAATAGTACAGCGGAAGTTCGCTGTCGGCTAATGAGAGCGAGAGAGAGAGAGAGAGCGAGAGCTTGCGCTCGGTAAACTCATTAGCCGCGCACTGAGCTTTCCGCTCGCGGCCACTCGGCGTTGTCGAGCTCTCGGCTAGCCTGTTCGAAATTTGCTAAAGTACATCGTTTCGGTGTCTTACAGACGCAGCAACAGCAGCAGGCAGCGGCCAACACCCTGCTACTGATTCACTTGGGCGCAGTCGAAGCCGCGGTTTGCCTTGTCCTACTGGTCTTCGCGACGGGCTCGTGGCCGGCCGCCGGCACTTGGTGTGTCATTCATGGATTTTTGCTGGCTCTGCTGCACCCTGTCGCTCTTTGGACCGTGACTGGCCTCAACTGCGATAGGTACATCTTCGCGTTTACGTTGATTTTACGAGCTCGCTGTCCGCGTGCCAGCTTTTTCGGGCAGCGACGAAGGCTTTAACTTTTATATTATTCAAAATTATTGCCTTCTTCGCGAAAAAAATGTTTATCGTTGAAAATACAAAGTGCAAGCGCGAATCGAATTTACCAAAAATTACGAAAATAACTTTTGTCGCGAGAATTCGTGCGTCGTTGTTTAAGGTGCATTCGGTTTTGCAGCACAGGAGAAAACAAGGTTTTTCGATGTAAAGGCAAACGTTCGTCACCGTTAAGCTCGTAGATCTATATTAGTACTTAAGAGCACATATATTTTTAGGAAAAAGGGATTATTTGAGGAATAAATGAAGCAGGCACCATCGCATTTCCTCAGGTTTGAAACGCAAAAGAAATTTTCCCCTTCACCCCTGCGTTGATTTATTCCGTTTTATCCAAGAGCTGATACATGCGTATATATACACGCAAATAGCTGCGGGTCATACTCTGTCAGTGTCCTGTGAAGAGCACAAAAGGCTTTTACCGCGAGTATTCTCCGATCATTGGAGGTTTGGCATCATAGTCGGCTCTGTGTGTGCTGCATTGGCCGAAGAAAGTCGCAGCAGGCGCTTTTTTTCATGCATGTCCGAGTACTAGAAATATCGCTCTATCAATTTCAACTTTCTATATCATTGCACGGACATCTTTATAATTTGCGTGATCATGCGCGTATATTTATAGCTATTCGACGGAAATGAGCCCAAATAAAATTCAATTTAAAAGTAATGGACTTTACGACGGCAATGGCTAGAGTCACATCTATTCTTCTTATTGCACATTGTAATTGTAATGGAAATAAGTGAGTTACATAGAGTGAAAAGTTTTATTGATTTTTTCTTTTAAGTTGATGATTCAGCATTATATATATAAATACATATGTACATGTTCTCTAGAGTCAAGGCTATATCTTTTTTGGTGATCTATGGCTGATGTTTGATGATTCTCTTAGTTGTATGATTAATTATTATACCGCAGCTATGTTTTTAACTTGATTAATTCATCACTTTATTTGAAAAAGTCACGGAAACAATATTTATAGCTATCAAGTGAGTTTGACTACTATTAATCATCATTCGTCAAAGGGTTTTACTAAGCTAAATTAATTCAACGTTGTCGTGTGTTCAATTATTTATACTTCCATAAGCTTCTCGCGAATCGAATGAAAAAAGAAAAAAAAACGCTGATCAATAGTACTTGACATGTATTGAATATTAATCATAGATTTGCAAGTTCTTAAGAAGTTCGTACATAAGCTCGTAAAGATTTATCAACAAGATCCATCGATATACGCCCCAAGAAAAAGAAAAGTAATAAGATGAGTTTTGTTTTGTCAGGTATTACGCAATCGCAGCGCCATTACACTACTCCGCAGTAGTGTCGCCCCGTCGAGTAGCCTTGGGTCTCGGAATATCGTGGGCGGGTGCGCTGCTACTGTGCCTACCACCGTTTTCCGGCCTCGTGCCACCTTATCGCTACATGCCAGGACTGGGCTGCTGCGCGCCAGACTTCGGCCAAGCCGGTTGGGGTTCGGCCGGTGCATTGTACGGCGCCATCTATGCGCTGCTCGGCTTGGCGCTACCAGCACTGCTCGTCACTCTGTGCAATCTGCGAGTGCTGGGCATCGCCAGGTACCATCGCCATCGCATCGCCAGTGCGATCTACGAGGTGACGCTGAGCGCGCAAGTGACCATCACCCATCAGAGGAATCCGTTTTTCGTCCCGGCGGTCACGGCTCCCTCGGCCGGCGGTCCGCCCAGATTTCACAGCGCTGCTAGCACGGTGAGCGTGGCCCGTTCGAACCTGCCGCGGCCGACTGGCGGCACTATTTCCTTTTATGCCCGGGCGCCGTTCAGCGCGTTAATTAAGTTTCTTTTCTCGTCCAAGCCGAGTTCCCGAGTTGACGGGGGACAGCTTTTCCTTTTTACGGAATAAAAAGCGATACGGCCTTTCCCTGGGACAACGGCGTTTTTTCAGCTTCGTTTTTTTTTTTCATCGCCGCCCATTCTAAAGAATGGGCGGCGGGTAAATTACAACGCCGCCGTGCTCTTCGCGGACGAATTATTATTGGAGACCTTCTCCGCGAGCGAGGCGGGAGTGTCGGTTGATTGCGCGTAGTTTTTCTTACTATTTCATTTTGCACTTTCAGCGCGCTTTTTCGCTGCTAATGGGTTTGCATTCCGCATCAAAAACCTTTCGTTAATCACGTTCCAGTGCTTTTTTTCTTGTCGACGACGGAACCTCGGAGAGTTCCTCTGAATGAACGCGCGCGCGCGCGCGCGAGCGACGATCGACAGGAAAACTGAAAAATATGTCGGAACGATTGGTAGGTGATGCAGCTGGTAGGCTCGCTGTATCTACTGTACTTCCCCTACTGCGGACTGATACTGTGGGAGGTATGCGGCAGCGGCAACGGCGGCGGTGGTGGCAGCGGTAACTCGAGTTTGTCCGGCGGCACGTCCAGCCTGTACGGGTCCATCGCGCAGCAGCCGCAGCAACAGCAGGCGGCGGTGGCACGACTACACGCTGTTCATCCGCGCTTCGCGTCCCTGGCCTCACTGCTGCTCGCTTGCTCGCCACCCATCAACGGCCTTCTCTACGGACTCAAGTCGCGAATGCTGCGGCGCTCGGTGCAGAACTACTGGCGCAAAAAAGCTACCAAGTCCGAGCTCCAGCAGGTACGTTTGCCTGTTATTAATGGCTGATCGCTGTGCGAGAGACAGACTACGCGATAGCTTTCCGCGCGGCCAATTCTCGACAGTCTTACCACGATAAATTTCTCATACGCCGTTGGCCTTTCGCAGGCCTGCGGTCCGAGCGCGCATTCAGAGGACTGCTAGGTCATAATAAAGCAAGCGATTGATCGCATGTTAAAGGAGATCCAAGCGCGCACGCCAAGCGCGGCGGGATCGCGACGACCCTCGGTCACCGGAGCGCCGTCGTCGTTCTTTCCGTTCCCGCCGTTGCAGCGTCGTCTGAGCGAAGCTTTGATCGCCTTGGGCAACTGCCGCGCGGCCGCTGGCTTCGGCAGCGGCAATATCGCCAACGTGTTCCATCGTGCGAGGTTACAACCGGCTGCCTCCTGCAACACCCTTAGAGTGCCAAACGCCGAGCTCGGTGAGTCTGATCTGCATGCACTTATCGGAACTTGCACTCGCCTCGCTTGCTGGCCGATTGATCCCAGTGTTTCGCTGGCGCAAGATTCGCCCGGGCTTGGGGAGCGCATGCCGGTCGATCGAGCCACTTCGACATTCGTCATGCTTTATGCTTGTTCGTGCTTCCACGCCGAATCCCATTCTGATGATATTTAATCAACTTGCCCGCGAATACTCTTGTTTGCTCGATCGCGCGTGTACACCTACCTCCGAGATAGCTCCTAATCAAAGAGCCCACCTCTTCGCTTTGAATTTATGTCCAATGGAATCCTCGCGCTCGCTTCATCGCTAAACGTAATGACGTTTTTCTCTCCGCGCTGCCGCAGAATTATCAGGAATTTCGCTAAAAAGAACTATCGTCGCTCAGTGCCGTTGGCGAATAATTCCGAGTTGGTCACGCACACTCTCAATAATTATATCAACAAATGCAGCTCGACAACACTTATACCTGCTATCGCAAACACTACCGATGCTTTTTTGTCGCTCATAGATATTCGAAATATCATCGACCAAAATGAGCTCAATTTTTACGGAAAATCATATTTTTTGTTTTCTCGGCACTTTGAACCACAAAAAATAGACGTCACAAGGAATCAGAAAATGGGCCTGCGTACTGCGAATCTTTTGATACGATCCGTAAAAACACGAGCCCCGGTAGTTTGAACACGCGAAAAGGTGGTGCCAAATTATGATGCTTTTTTACGTGCACAATTCCTCATATGCGGTATAACAATGAAAATGCAATTTCAAACTCGCTTTATCCGTCGAACGCTAACGATGTTAATTTTCCAGATGTTATTCCGTCGCGAGTCCTTTACGCGCCACTGCCAAAAGCAATTTTAACTAATTGCAAACGCGCGAGCGTCAACTATAGATGAAAAAATTTAATATTCCAACGGGGGATGCCGCACGAAAATTCCCGCTCATTACGTAATTCAATAACCAATCGCACGAGTATATTTTGTAACATTATAGAGAATTGACACACCGGCGTCGCGAAGATTAAACGTTATATTTCCCTTTGATTCATTGGGTGTATGGATTTGTTACTCGAAAGCTCGACTACATTGGAAGAAAAGAAAACGCATCGATCGACGTAAGCAAATGCGGCACAGCTCTCTCGGAAGATTTTCGGCATATATAACTCAATTAAGTCGGCAATCTATCGACTAAAGTGAATTTCCGTGCGAGCCAATGAAGGTCGCGCGCGGGCGGCCGCGCGAGCTTACAAGCCGCGTATGTGGCGCGGCTCGGCTTAAATGCATCTCTGCATCAACAGCCATTACATTACATCGCGCACGCTCTCTGCTTAATTGCGCGGAGTGCGACGTACGTATCGATAATACAGTAATTTAACCTTCGACGACAGCGACAATTGTATCGACCCTACATACGTGTGTTACAATACAATTATGCGTCGCGGCAATTGCGAGCTTTTTTCATACCACGCTGATAAATCATTCTCCTTGTCCTTTGTAAATACGTGCCAGCCAACAGCGGTTGGAAATCTGCATTTCTCTGGTCATCCCCTGCCCGCCCCCCTCCCCCTTCTTTCTCTCAGCGTATATACCTCGTAACATAATATTCCTCATTCGGGTCAATTGAACTGTTCTCTCGATTCTTGCATATTTTTCGCTGGGGCGCGACGTGTCTATGTGGATACAAACTATTTTGTAGCTGCAGCGCTACGAGCGCATAATAAATCGATTCGTCATGCATGTGATGCCGTTGTTTGCTTTCATTCTTGAAAGTCACGTAGCTTGCTCGTTACTTTTTTCCAACGTTAGTAGGAATCAATCCATATGCAATATCACTGCTGTTGCTTTTTCTCTCTTTTCATTTTCAGTTTTTTATCAGTAGCTATATCGCATTAAACACAGATTTGCCCTTATTATATTGCCGACTATGTAAATTTTCAATAAAGGAGCTTATATAACTTTATTTTATTGGATAGTACTTTATGAAGTTTAATAATTCTTGCTTTTTAATACCTTTACTAAATTTCTATTCTTATAAACTATAATATATTAACAAATTACCACTGTCATAGTGATATGTTTTTATACATTGGGAAAACGATTTGATAAAATTACATGAATCAGTTTGTTTGAGTCTTTTCTACAAATTTATATGCAATTGAATTCATTAGTTTCCAATTTCTTTGCAACACTTTCATATTTAAAATGTTTTTCAATAGAGTATGTCATAGGATTGATGATCTATGATAGTGAATTATTTTATGGAAAATATAATTCTAACGTTAATATTTGAGTTAACATGCAGACAGCTGACAAGCGTTTGAAATTGAATGTATAACATTACCTCGCTGAACATTCATATCGCACGATGTTGATCGGTAGATGTGTTTATTTTACAATTCAAAGGGAAAATAAGAGAACCGGAAAAAGTACGTGCAAACCTGCAGATTCACGACGAATATGATTTTAAATATACATGTACTTAATTTTTACAAAGGATCTTTTACAAAATGCAAAGCATATTAAATATCGATCATAAATAATCGAGATATGAAAGCACATTATTTTTGCAAGTAAAAAATGTTCATCTCGCGTAAACACGCACTGGACGAAAAGGAAAAAAAAGGCGAAAGTATAAGTACGAAAAACGCTCCTTGAAAAGCATTATAATTTGTTACCTACAAAGCTCAACGCTATCGTGCATCAAACGACTGTGCGCGTTCAGCTAAACCATGACCCAATTCACTCAATGAGTACCATTGCACGCTATAATAATCCCAGCCCATGTCGCTGCTACAATGTAACTAATCGATGTGAAAAATGCCACGAACGTGCGGTTCACCGAGAAAACAGGCGTATCTAAATCATGCACGTGCGACGATATGTCTCAAGGGACAACAGGGAGGGAGAGAGAAAGAGTCCACTCCATCCCTTTCATACTCGTAAATTGGGGGCGCGCGGGCTAGCGAACGCACCGCTTGCGATCCACGGATGTGCGCGTGGCATAATAAAGACACCCCGGGTGCGCGTAATACAAGTCAATGGTGTATAAATTCAGGCGAGAGCAGACGGTTGGTGAGGTCGAGTGCCTCGGCGGCGAGTCTGATGGGGCCGCACTATCGTAACGATTTCGCGGCAAGCGGTGGTGCCGATGCACTGGCGACGGCGGTGGCGAACGGCACCACGTCGACCACCGCCCTCGAGACGCCAAAGAGAAGCCCGAGGATACTCATCACCAGGGCTTACAGCGAGGAGAGCCAAGACGGTGGCAGCCCACTGCTGAGAAAGCCTTTTGCTGCTCCCGTCTCTTTGCCACCGTGCGAGAGTAAGTTCAGGATCGCAGTACTATCACTGTATTCTTACTCGATGGCAAGCGCCAGTATCGCGCGCGTCAGTGATGTTGACATTTTGAAATTACCAAACAATTCATTGATCTGACGTTTAATGTCCGGCTATGTTGATTTCGCGGCGTTCGGGAAATGCAGTCACCGCTTAAACGTCATATACTACGCGATTACTTCATCGTTATTCATTTGGAAGACGAGGGTCGAGGGCGTTGTACGTCAGCTTTCTTCGTGCCAATGAGATATTCTTGATGGAAGCCGATCCGCGCTCGATGATCATCGATAAAATAGACGCGCGACTGAAATCCATGAGTAACAAGGACAAAAATGTGGAATGACAGAGCGCAGGTGGCGTCACCGAAGTACCGAGAGCGATAGCAGCACTGGGAGCAGCGACGCAAGCGTCTGGACAACGGGAGTGCAAGCGGCAAAGCCACCGAGGGCTGGTGCTGCCAATGGCAAGAATCCATCGCACATGTGGCCGTGTGCTAGACGTTTCACGAGAGTGAAAACACTCGAGGAAGGCGCAGCTGTGTTTTCCGTCGTTCTGGCCAATCGGATGGCCATCAACAACAACGGCGACAGCGCGGACCTTGCAACGGACGCTGCTGCGACGAGCCAGACTATCAAGGCGCCCATCAACGTGAGTGTCTTTGCAGTCGAATTTTCAATGATACATCTGTTTAAATTGGCTATTTTTTATTTGGAAAGATTAGTGGAAGATTTTTTAATTGGATCACGAACGAAACGTCTTTTGAGTTGTCGATTTATTTTTCAACGATTAGGAAAAATGCACTTTCTCAGAGTGGATCGTTAAAAATGTGGAATAACTGAATTCACACGTAGCTGTAGTCTATGGCATTGGCCAGAGCAACATATTCAATTGACTTCATTAAAGGCCTCATCTTCCAGCACTCTTACGCCAAGTACAATTTGGCGTCCATAACAACATCTGATCTATTGTTAATTTTGTTTACCAAACAATTAGGTGCGACGTAAATTAACATTCCATATGAACACGAGAGCTAGTCAATAGCGGTACACTAATCAAACAATTGGTATGTGCTTGCATTTGTCCAGACTGGGATAAACCTGCGGGCTTAGAACAATTGGCGCGCGTGATTCGACCCTGATTGCATTAGCGGTAAGACTCGGAATGGCTTTAATAGACTGCACTAAAACTTCCCAAATTCACGCTGAATAGTTGATTTTCCCACGACTAATCCATAACAACAGTGTGTATGTTTGTACGTGACGTGACGACGGATTCTCAAAGGACTAGTCTTTAATTTGGACGCACTGACAGCACCTAGAGGCTAACGTATCACCGACACTTACAAGCTAAAGCATTAATACACTCAAAGAAAAGAAAAACCTCACGTGCTTTTGTCGAGTTGTAACGAGAAGGTGTAAAAAGCGAGAGAGAGAGAGAGAGAGAGGGGGGAGGGAGAGAAAGAGCGTCGCTAACGCACGCACGGTCACCTGTTGCAGGAGCAGCAGCCAGTAGCCGAGTTAGAAATCAGTTGCGACGAGAAAGACGAGGTGGACGACGAAGAGCAGGAGGCGGACAGAATCACGCCCGAGGACGAGCATAGGGCTAGTGCGAGTTCCAGCAGTTGGAGTTGCGCCGAGGACACTACCGCCCACTCGGCCCTCAACTCGCGCGCTTCCAGTGAGTGTGGCCTTGTGATGCATCCCATTGGGCAAACCACTGGTGAGCGTCAGCACTTTTCCAAATGACATCTTCCGCTTTTCGACAATCGTTCTGGATCCGCCGTGCATCGTTATTTTCAATGCCCGGGACATTGAACAATTGCTCTAATCGTCGTAAAAAAAACTGAACTAACGCGATACTATCACCAAAGAATTGTACCAAGTGCCCATTCGAGAAATATCCCCTCCACTAGCGTTTCCACTTCGAAACCAATTGAAAGTCTTTCGATCAATCGAGAAGGCGGCAGTGGCTGCTCGAGCGAAAGAAAAAGTAAACTTGGCGCGGCAACCCCTTCTGAAAATTAAGCCTCTCGGTCTGCTCGACAATCAGGGTGGAGTGATCGGTTTGCAGGAAGCAGCCGTCCAAAGCGCGAAGAAGCCGCGGAGGAAGAGAAGGAAGAAGGTATTTGCCCAGCAGAAGGGGGAGCGAGAGGAAGAAGGCCGAGGCGGAAATCGAGAATCGAACGCGAAGCCGAGATTACGGTGGTGGTGGTGGACCAGTTGCGACCTCTGCTTACCTCGTCGTCCTAGCCTTCGTTGAGGGTCAAGGAGCACAGGCCTGCACCCGTTTGGATTTAGACAAAACCAGACCAACGGGTTCGTCGTTGTGCTAACGAGCGCGCATCATACTTTTGCGCGCTCTCTTTCTTGTTACTTCCTCTTCTTCTTCTTCTTCTTCTTCTTCTTCTTCTTCTCTTGACGCACGCACGTCAATTTGTAAGTTACTCGCCAGCTCACGGTTTCCATGTGAAGGAAGGAAACAGCATGCCTCTTATTTTCTCCAAATTACTTTTGTTGACTTTTGATAATCTTCGGAATATCATTGGTCTTTTTTTCATTTGAACTGTCAAAGATGCGCTGTTCGATATACGGAAATAGCCGCGCTCGGTAACAATGTGGCACACGCTGTGAAAGAGGCACTGGTAATTTTGGTTGCGACGGGCAAAGTACGAATTATCATGCATCGTGCGTTGGGAAGCTCGACGAAAGCAAACAGCGGTGACCGGAAGCTCCCCGTCGAAATACGAGTCTCATCGAAATCCAAAACCCAATTATTCTTGTTGCTGCACGGTCATCCCACATCATACTCGCTCGCCAAGTAATACGTGTACAAAACAGCAGCGAGAATTAGAAAGGAATTCTCGACTTTGTGACGTCACTCGACTGACTAAAAAAAAATAATAAAAAAGAAAAGGAATCCCTGTGATCTTGTTACCGTACAATTCCTTTGTTTTAGATAGAAGCCGAAGAAAAGCCTGTGTATTTTGAAAACCGCTTGAATTTTCGTTTTAGGAAATGAAAAGAAAAAAAACGCTCTCGTTCTTTTTTGTAACATATGATTGTCGTTATTGCGTATAAGCTTTTGTATATTTATCGTGCTCAGCTGTGAAAAAAAGAAAGAATCCTACACGTGAAAACGAATAGTCATAGTCTTACGAATTACGAAAGTGGATATCTTGAGAGAATGAGAGACGTATACGGTCGGACCTCGCGATATGATATTTTTATAAGGAAAAGAGCTGGCAGATGATATGTGTCGGCTCATCTCTCGTTTGAAATGAAAGTTGATGCGCGGATTGAAAGTTTTATTTTAATAAAGTGTTGCGAATGTACAAATTGCGATTAGAGGTAATGGCGAAGATGATAATAATGGCATTCAAGTTAACTATAGTAGAGACCAGTGTCCACATGTATGCAGTGTACCATGTAAGCAGTTAAATTAATTGTACTTGGTGTATATCAAACAAAACATAGAATCGCTGTTGCGTAGTTTTAACGTAGCGAATACAACGGAACGTTCCTAGTAAACGTTTATTTATGTGTATCCACACATACACACAGTTAAGAGAGAATAAATACTGTGAAACACATTCCTATCTCACTAAGATACATTATATATTAGAGCGGGCGTGGCGGCGGCGTTTTGTCGACATATCCTAAGTAAGTTATATTTTTATAAACGTCCGTTTCGTTCGCGCCCACTAACTACACACGTAGGCAACGACAATTTGCTGCTGCTGGACCTATTTAATAAGAGGACGTTAATAAGCTGACGATATGCATGCACGCACATGAGTATTCGTCCCATTGCATTTATTTTCTATCTCGCGCAAAAGTCAGACCCTCTCTCTCTCTCTCTCCCTCATACGCATACACGAACACACACACATACCTCACGAATATACAATAAGCTCATCAATTTCAATGTGTTTGCGTATATCTTTGACAGTGATAAAGACGAAAAATACAAATTAATGACTGGATTATACATCAGACGGACGGGAGGGGGGGGGGGGGGGGGGGATCAAGATCATTTTTAATGCTGTAGCATACGTCTGCTCTGTATATATACGCATTGAAGTTGATTTTTTCAATGATCCGCGACGAAGCGAAGTTTTTTTCGGACCGCGCGTCACCTCGAGTTAGCGTGAGAAGTCTGACGAAAATGAAAATCCAATACTAACAGTAAATAATAACGCAGGCGAATGCGGCGTCCTTCGTGCAGCGTAACGACGACGACTTGAATTGGCCACGGTCGCTCGGCGCGTGATTAATTGTATGTATTTGTCGCGCGCTACGTCCGACGGCTAGCGAGCGTCACGTCGATGATCGTTGTAAAAGAGAAAGAGTCTCGCGTCGTGGCAGTCGCATCGGCCGTGTACAAGAGCGTCGGCGGCGATCGATGGTTCGGCCGTGTAACTCGCGCCGCTCCGCGAATAAATGCCAGCGATCTCGGCCGTATACGCGACGAGGCACGCGGCAACGGGACGCAATCGCAACGCGCGCGCGGGACCGCACACGAGCTCTCGCTATCGAGCTCCTGGTGTAAATACAGCTGCTCGCGGGTTGCGACCGCACGCGCGGAACGATTTGACGAGACGTGTCTCCGCGCGCGACGGCTTTCGTCCGCGACAATTTATGCTCTCGCTTTCTCGCGCGCCGCGCCATCAAGCCGATAAAGTGCACTCGCAGCGCGTCCGATTAATGCGTTCGAGGTTCCTATGGAAAAGTAATAGAGAGGCTGGCGGTGCGAGCGCGATGCAAGAGAGGCGCCAAATTTTACACGTAATATTCCGGACGTCTTAATCCTTCAGTTCTCGCTTCTAACGCCGTAAAAATGTACTTCCACGAATGAGAACGCGCGACATGCCTTGCTTGTACAATCCAGATTTCATCGCTAATCAAGTTGGCTGCAAATTATTTTACGTTCTTATTCTTTGAACGCGATGGAACTTCGCCTTTTTCTTCTTGTTTTTGTCAATCGAAGCCACGGGAGGAATTTAATCTGCCTGGCAGTAAAAAATTCTCGAAACGTTTTCCCGATAAACGTCGCGATGCGTCTGCGCCAAGCGGCCAAGGGAAAATATTCTTATATAGATGCATGTGCATGTTGGTATGCAAGGATCGAATAAGAGTCAGTATAGCTTTTATAGCTTTTGTCGTAATAGCTCGCAAATAATTGTCACAGAGTACTAGAACTATATACTTTGTATATTTTCTTTTTCGTTAGATTTTGCTCACGAGGCAGTTGTATTCATAAATATATTATGAATGATTTTGTATGCTGAATGAAGAAGCAAATATGTCGGCTTTCAAAAGCAAATGTTACCTATAAATGCTCTATGTAATCCAATGCCAAGGTTTACGACAGAACGTCACTAGTCAATGTTACGCGGAGGTTGTGATCTTTTATTTATTTATATTAATTTATTGCGTGCATCTAATTTCGTACTTGGCTTGATAAATTTTTACTTGCCGATGCTCTATATAACAGTTTAGACATCGATTTTTTCCGTATTATTCTCTTCTCAAAAAAGTCACAAGTCGAACCGCAGACTTTTACGACAATTATAAATTGATTTGCAAAAATAAATAATGTATTTTGCTATCGGCAATTGTATTCAGGAATGCAAGAAAACGAAATGATTGGAATAAAAGTTGCGCTCATTAGGATTCAGCGAAGAGCACCGAGAAAAATAGAATATAATCGCAATCAAGGAACAGCCGCACAAAATCGATATGGATTTCATCTCTAACGTCTGTGCCTGCACAAAGTTATTTGAAAAACAAGCCAAATCTTACCTTGATGTCAAGCCTTACATTTAGTACAATCAGAAAAGCCTGTACAAACGACAATCTTTCATATATAATAAATATTTTATCTACAAAGTAACTGAGTTCGTGCTCATAAACAACTTTTTCTTTCGAGGTAGATTCATTTGCAGTACTTTTCAGCTTGAATAACGTGTACTCAAGCGAGTGATGTGTTGAATGCGAATACAAACATTCTCAGAAAAAATGTCTAGTTCGTATTCTGGGGAATCCAGAGATTTTATGTATGCGTGTCATAAAATATATATCGCATAATTCTATCTGAGAAAACGTCCATTGACACTGTATGTACCATATATATATATAAATGACAAATTTCGTCTTTACGATGTTCACACTGTCAGTGGTAGCGAATACAGCCATGTGGTCCAATGAAAAGATCCTCAATGATGCATCACAAACAATGTGTAAAGCCGCAGACAAAAAATTATTTTAGCAGGTGATCCTTTGTAAGAAAAGCAGAGAGATGAAAACGCGAGAGCACTATTTTTTCAAAACTGTTTTAGTGTTGAATCGTTAAGATAAACAATATAGTTCAGAATGATAATGGTCAATTAAGCATAATGCCACTGTCGGTGTATAGCAAGCTGCTTAATTATCATCTGCGATATGGGCATCTCTTTGTAATACTGTTCAAGAAAAAAAATCTATGCCGTATCTGTTATATCGCCGTGACTTGTGATGATCTCGATGTTAATATAACAAATGAAAAGAAAGAATGATCGATCTGATGTTGACCTTTCAAAGGCATACGTTTGAATGTATAAAAAACAGTTCATTATGTTATGTATAGTAAAAACGTTGAAAAATTTTGTGTCTCAACATAAGGCTTCACTTTATTTTACACTCCGACTGAGTTTTTCTGTTAAATAAAAAAAAATCAATTCACCCTATAGATGTCAATTTGAGTTTCGCGTTGAAACCTGCAACTAAAACAATGAAATATTAAATTTAAATTGAAAAATAGTTTCCTAGTTTATTAGCGTAATTAATTTAATATACGTGAGTGAAAAAACGAGTGTTACGCAATGCTGCCTAAATTGGAGAGTATTTATTCAAATTAAAGGAAGGGAAAAAAGAGCAAATAATAACTTGACTTCAGACCGAGGCAGGTGAGCTTTCTATTTATCCCACCGGTCACAATGTCAGAGTTTCCGGTTTCGAACTTCTCCTTATTATTTTGGAAGGCACACACGTATTTGTCATGTCCCATTATATGACGTGGGTTTCGCACTTCGTTCACCCGCACGAGTTACAAGGCCAACGGTATTTTTCATTTTATACAGCGGCGACAATTGTATCATCGAGTCTATTATTTTACAAAAACAAAAAAAGCTTATTCGATGAAATCCCATCTCTTTGGTAAAACGAAGAACAAAAGAGCAAGCAAACACATGCGAAGGCCAACAGATTCCTTTTCGACCGAAGATCACGTGGATAATCCAGAGCGTCGGCGTCCCTTTCACCCGAGTGTATAGTGTTCGGCGGATAATCGGAGTCACGCTAACGCATACCGGCAACGCACACAGTGCGGCGATCATCAGCTTTTCAACTCACGGGCAGTCACACGCGCGACGCTCAGCCGTGAGCTTCCTCGTGCCTCGTTCTCTAAAAGTCCCCCATTACGCGCTATATACCGTATACGTGGACGCGACGGCTGACCATGGCGTGATTGATCGCTCTCCTTTTCGGTAAGCGCTGTCTGTGTATCGACACTGTAGTGGGACAAACGTGTGTTTGTCTTCCTTCGCTGTAGAATGCCACGGGGAAACGATTTCAGGTTCGAGACGCTGCGCGAGCGCAACAGGTAAGTTACAGCCGTGTGGTTCTCACGCAAGACTTGTTGGTTGCGGCCGTCGATTGAAAGACCATCAGTGTACAAATTCCAAGTTTTCATTTGTTCTTAGCTAGCTTTCTCAGTGTATTGTGTTAACAACCCGAGCGATACAATTTCCTGTCAAGTGGTTGCGAAAATCAATGCGCACGTGGCAACATTTACCGAAAAAATAGTCGAACGAAAGTTGATCTTTCTGAAAATAGATGAGAAACAATCGTTAATGTCATCATTTGTCAATCAAGCATTTGGATGCGACTATAAATCTACAGAAATGTATATAACTTTGAAGGAAGGAATGGGCTGCTGACCATTACACTGTTAATATATCTATCAAAAGTGTGTTTAATCAAAGAATATAGTGCTGACCCACACGCAGACAAACGTTCGAAGGCATGAACATTTGATAATGCAATATCTTAGTGTACATATGTACTTGAGATCTTATCCATGGACGCGACGATCCGACAAAGCCTATTAACCCAGGCAACGTCTTACATAATCCGCTTCTATGATATATCTTTACGCTCATCTATGCCTCTCTATGTGATTCCCAATCAAATAACCGCGACCAAAAAGATTCATTCTGTATCGGCACTGTTTTCTAAACTACTCTATATTTTTAGATTCACATGTGTATTTTGTATGTTCGTAATACTTCATCTCAAAACAAGCACATAAGTTGTACCCCGAATAAGATTAGTTTTGACAGACATCGTTGACCTATATATGAATCTGTATAGTGTAGTCAAAGATTTCATGTTACGTTACGAAGATGAATTAGCAATAAATTTTTTTATGCACTATAATATGTTTCTTGAACGCTATTATCTGTTGGTAATTCGATCCTCACTTTGATTTCTTCGTATAATTTTTTTTTACAAATACCAAACTTTAATATCAGTCGTAAATTAAATCTAACAAAACAGTGTTTAGCTTAAATGTCTTTCCGTATGACAGTTGCTAATTTATGCTGATAAACATAAATTACGTAGCTGAAATGAAATTGAAGGACCAAGTTAGTTTTGAACAAATTCTGATTCTACAGGATTTGATACTACATGGATTTATAAATTTTGTTTATTTAATATATTGGTTTTTTAAATGCACAAAAAATAGAAAATAGTATTTATTAGAAAAAAAGATACCATTGAATATATAAATTTTCTACAGAAAATTCAATTGAAAAGTAACTGGTCCGAAGTATTCTACGTAAAATATTTGTCCACGAATAAATAAATATTTGAAAAATATGTTTCAGATTCGGCCCGTAATTGAAAAATAATCAAACGTACGATTACGCTGTATAGAATAACTAGTGCCAATTAAATTTTTGTTAATTTTTCTGTATAAAGATATAATGTCAGATAATATTTCGTTTTTAATGAAAATAGTACTTTATTTTTCGTGTTCACTACATAAGCATTACGTTAACTAACAAAATTTAAAATTTGGCGTAGAATCGGTACGTGCATTAATGTATTTTTTATTGACAGCTTCAATCACGAAAGTTTTTTTTCATTTATGTATTTATTGTCGCATTCCCCTTGAAGGGTATTAACGGCAGTGATACAGAGTGGAGTAAATTAGTGATAATACAGAGATGACAAGAGTACATTACAAGTACAGGGATTTTATAGAGCGTGTAAGGTTATACGTTGTATACATTAACATGAAAATTGGTTAGGAAGTTATATTTAAAATTAACGAGGTATGGATACATATGCGCTTAATGATACAGTAGTTAAATATCGTGACGTTAGATTTTTCGTAAAACTTTTTATTGAAATGAGATAGCGTTAAAGATTTAATTTGCATGAACGGACGTAGTTTAAAAACAAAAAACGATCGCGTGCTTAGAAGTATCGTAGAAACATCATACAAGAATGCTTTGGTCTGCAAAAACATTAAGAGAACAAATGCTACTGAAAAAGTCAAAGTGATCATACGTTAAACCATACCAGAAAAATACTACGACTGTGCAATGTATAGGACAAGAACTAATGTCTTATCTGCAAGTAAGGACACAGCAAAAACTTAGCGTCGAGCTGTTAATCACATTATTTCTAGTATATCGATGTTATATATATTTGTCAGACTAGCGTATGGTCACAGTATATTGCTGATTGCCTTAGCACAGTAAGCTAATGAATAAAATAAAGCTCTTAGGATTCAAAATAATACAGCGCGCGCGTTCATTTCATTTTCAAGTTTTTTGAAAATAATTTTGCGTGCGTTCATCGAAATAGATAAGCGTGAAATCGTATGTTTGAAAAATGTTTATGAAAGTGAGAGCCTTAATGCTCTTGTGGAAAATTTTTCGACGTTACCTGGATACCTTATCGATATTCTGCGAGATGCGATTCGTCTCGACCCGCGAAGCAATCATCCTATTATACTTTTATCTGAGACACAAACTACAAAGAAAAGTCAGGCTGCACGGAGCGAATAAAAATTGGTTTTGAATTTTTCGAAGAAAGTGCATGCGTACAGACGTTGTAAGGTAGGCTCGTCACGCTTAATTGTTTGCAAGCAGATAAATGCCATTCAAGCTAGAATTCTTCTGTTGGTCTGAAGTCACTTTTGCACAGCTCACTAACGGTATCGGCAATCTTGGCGTGCAATCATTTCCAGTGATCAATATTTTACACATCTCTTGGATTTAGCTTATAATGGTTCCGAGAAATTAGTTGACGGGTGTCTAATAAATCGATAAACATGGTTCTTCAGTCTGATCGAATCATAAATTCGCAATGAGCATTTGGAGCACAAGGTTGTAGCCTTTGGAAATACTTTGCTTTCAATATATTGTTACAAGATTATAACTTTTTTCAAGCAATTTTCAAAAGTTAATATGTATATAACTGCAACTATTATAAACTTGAATGCTAAGCAAAATCTCGAGCATTTTATCATAATTGGAGTGGTATTGTTTTTTAATGCTTTTAATAATTAGCGACATTACGTTAATAGGGTATTTTAGTCTGCAAACGCATATTGCTTCCGGTCGCCACAAAGTGTGCTATAATAAAAAACACCACTTCAATGCGCATAAGTCAGGGCAGTCAAAGTGTTGAATATAAAAACTGACATTTACATGCAACGACAAGTAATTTACACTACTCACGGAGGATAGTAATTGTTAGAATATGAAATAAATTTATGTTGGACTCAACAGTACAATACACTGCATAAAATGCATAGCTTAGCTGGACGATGCACTCTTTGAAATTTTGGCGGGTGCTGAGTTGTGTAATTACAACTCAGCAATTATCGGATATAAAAGCTCCGAAGTCAAGCGTCTAATTTTAGTGTATGTCTGTAATGCCACTCGTCAAATATATTAAATACCTATAAGAATTAATAATCCCCTTTACTCATACTTTATTTCAACAGTAATAATCGATTTTCAAAGTAATAAAAATGTAAGAGAAAGAAATGAGACGAAGTGCAAAAAAATGTATGCCGGTGTTGCGTAGAATTCTGCAGCTCGGCATCCGGTAAAAGGCATCCACCCGCGCCGATACGGCTTATCACTTGACCCTCGCGGTTTACCGACGTTCGCTTGCGGACACACACATGCATACGCGCACGAGCATCACCACGTCGCATTCCGCGCAGACTCGCGATCGACCAGCTGGCTGGCGAGCAAGTCGCTGGCTGATCCGCATCGCGGCAGATTTTGTTGTTTCCGGACGACGCGTGATCCGTCGCGAATGAAGCCAAGATCTCAGTGAGGCGTAGGAGGATGATTCTGCCGAGTTCGGGCGGTCTCGACTTCGACGTTACGCGCGGCGACGGTAGCTACTTTGCCTTGCAACCTTCCAATCTCAGCACGCCAAGCTCCGACGACCTGGTGCCCGGCTCTCATTTCCTCGACGAACCTGCACTCGAGCACGATCGTGACGACATTTGCCCCGGGCTCTTCTATTATTATTGGCACAAGTGAGTTTGTTGCCACCTTTTTTCTACTGACTTGGAACATTCTTCTTTTTATTAGTGCCTCGCACTCGCATCGCATTGCACTCTTTTGTTTGCAACGTCATTTTAAATTTCTTGCTTCATTTTTTGCCTCACAGTTCGAGGTCGCTTTGCGCCAGATATGCAAAAGATAAGTAGTAATTAACTTAGTTGATATGACACGTTTTGTATTATGACATTTATCGCGCCAAATTTGATTTTACCAAATGCTGGTAACGTACGCGCGCTTTTCGTCAATCGATCTATATTATTATATCTGGGTATATTATTGCAAAGTTATCAGCTACCTTACCGATGTTGTTTTGACTTTTGCTCAACAGTTCGATCAAATCATTTAATCTGACAAATTACGGCTTTGAGATTCCATTGTACGCAATCTTATTGCATGTGAAGTTACAAATGGAAATTAATTTAAATTAATTATAGAATTCCGACACTTCATATAAACTTGTTTGCGACATCATTCGGGACATTTGCTATAGACGGCACATATTTTGTATTATTATTAATATCAAGAGCAGACTCGACAATTTCACTAATAAGATACCTAAAGCGTTTATTGAGTTATAAAAAAAAAGTAAGAAACCTAACCTTTCTCGCTGTTCCTAGTTCTAAAATTGTTACAAAATTCCATTCAAATTAAATGCAAAAGTTTAACGTAAGATGGAAACAATTTTTGATTGCATACGCTGGGGGAAAATGAAATACTACTCACTTTTGTTATTTAATTCTATCGAGTCAATACACTCGGCTGTTGATGCGCGTTGATCAGTCTGCTGTTCGTTTCAGCGCGACAACGTCTATCTTGCGCACTAAACTTCGTATGACTGGAAGAAGAAAAAGTGATAGTACGTCGTGCGATCTGTCGAGCGAGAAGTCAAGTTGTTGACGAGGTCGCTGCACACAGATATCGTGTAAAAAGTATTTCCATTATTTAATATCAGATTGCAATTTGCCTGCTTTTCGTTGAATTAGGTATTTATTCGCTGAATAGGAGACGTCTGTGATAGAATCTGCCAGAATTATTAAAGCATTCAAAAAAAATTTTCAATTTGAGCTTTGATACAAATATAACAAACTTCAGACGAAAGAAATTAACCCTAAAATTATAAGTTGCACATTATAAACTTTACGATTAACAATCAAAGATCATTTGAAATTTTTAGTTTCTCTAAAAAATTTGCTGTAAAAGCTAAATATTTCTTTTCTGTTGGCATTTTGAGACAAGCAATATTTAGTAAAGAAAAAGAGTCTTTGTAAACAGGAAGCTCGTAAAACATTCAGCATTTTCTTCGACAATTTTTTATTATTGGCCCGTAGCTCTACCACTAAACTGTCGTTCATTAATCTGTTGATAGCACTACTTTACATTTACTGTAAATTGTTTAACAGATGTAACAGCTTGCCAAGGTTGGAGTGAAACGTTTTTTAGAATGTTTTTATCAATAAGAAAAGTAAAGAGCAATTTTGAGATTTGCAGGCCATGTCTGACAAAGAAGCTAATGATCGTAGGTGGCTCGGTGCTTGCTGGTCTGATCATCATTGTAATCATCATCAGCAGCTTATCCGGAGTCGACCATGACAACGAAATCGAATTAGTGCCGCCTGACCCGGAAGTACAGCCACCTCCGTCATACAGCCGACTTAGAGCATTCAAACGAAGTGCCGTTTGCGCAGATGGAGCGCCTTGTGCTCTTATTGGCAAGTGAGTATCACGCTCTGAAGCGATTGTTCGAGCAATCAGATTAATTCTATTACGGAAGTACAATTCAACGAACTTGACCTACTTTCAGATCAATTCTCGATCGCAATGGTTCAGCCGTCGACGCGACAATCGCAGCTCTTATTTGCAATGGAATGGTTAATATGCAGAGTATGGGATTGGGTGGAGGTTTTGTCATGGTGATTTATAACAAGGCTACAAATAGCACCTATGCATTGAATGCAAGAGACGTCGCACCAGGCGCGGCCGATCCTCATATGTATGACGGATTGTACGAAAAAGCATCGCTATACGGTAATTGGTCATTTTCACAATCGCCTTGCCACAATCTTTTCCAATGCTCGGATTACGAAAAAGTTCAACGTTTCTTTATTGTTTGCCGTGCTTGCAAAGGTGGCCTGTCAATAGCAGTGCCTGGCGAATTAGCTGGCTACTGGGAAGCGCATCAACGATTCGGCAAGCTGCCATGGGCTGAACTTTTCCATCCGAACATTGATCTCTGTGAAAAAGGATACAATTTAACCAAGATCCAATACGAAAGTTTGTTAATTAATGCTACTGCCATTCGTGCAGATCCGACATTCGTGTAAGTTTGGTAGCGTTGATAAAACTCGCTTTTTAAATTTAATTTAGTTTTTACGTTGTATTTATGTTTCAGGGATCTATTTGTTGACCCAGCGACCAACGAGTTTCGCAAAGCCGGATCGCTCATTCGGCCGAAAAAATTGTGCGAAACGCTGAAGATCATCGCGGAAAAAAATGCTACTGAATTTTATAATGGTACCTTAGCAAAGCGTTTAGTAGAGGATTTACAGAAGCGAGGCAGTATTATTACTTTGAAAGATTTGAGTGATTATAGGCAAGTGAATTTCGCAAAATATTAACAATGCTAATATTGAAGTACTTTATTCCTAGACACGAAAACAAAGTCGTTTTATTTGGTTAAGAATGCTCGTTTGGTTGGTTTCAGGGCCAAATGGGAAGAGCCTGAAAATATAGAGTTGACAGATGGCACGAAAGTCTATTCTACGGGGCTTCCAGCGAGTGGAAGTCTACTGTCGCTAATTTTAAATGTTTTCGACGAATTTCACTTCACGCCCAGTGATCTCGCCAACACAAGCACCACCGTAAAAACATATCATAGGATGATAGAAACGTTTAAGTACGCTTACGGTTGGAGGACGCAGTTAGGCGACGTAGAACGGTCCGGTGTAAGCGATGAAGAATCTAGCAGCTCGAGCTGGTTTGCGCGAATGTTTAATAATCCTTATTTCCATTTTGCAGTTAGCGAGAAAATTAAGGTCCAAAGAATATGCTCGGTCGATACGAATGATAATCAAGGACAATAGAACGTGGAACGACCCAACGCATTACGGTGCGCATAACGCGGACAATGACGACCATGGCACCGCGCATATATCTGTTATGAGCGAAAACGGCGATGCAGTGTCTGTTACCAGTACCATCAACACATAGTAAGATTTCGAAAATTGTTTAGCATTGCGAACATTACGACAGTCGATAGACGATCCGTAGGCTATAAGGTTGTTTGCTTTTTCTTTCCAGTTTCGCTAGTGCCGTGGTGAGCGAGAGCACAGGTATTCTAATGAACAACGCGATGGATGACTTTGGTTTGCCGGGTCATCTCAGCTATTTTGGCATTCCGCCGAATGAACATAACTTTATTGCGCCAGGCAAGAGACCACTGTCATCGATGACCCCGGCGATTCTCGTCGATGACAAGAACGACGTGAAAATGACCATAGGCGCTGCTGGTGGCACGAAAATTACTACCGCAGTCGCTTTCGTAAGTTTTTTTTTTTCATGTTTTACGATTTCAGACAATATATTCGAATTGCTGTGCATGGAAATAGCTGAAAATTAGGGATAATTGAATTTTAACCGGCCTTTTTTACCCGACTGCGCGCTTGAAATATTAAATCATAAGTCAATAGTGACACACTTAACCGGAAATTAACTATGATTTAGAAATCAACGGAAACAACTGATCAATAAACACGGTAAATGCCAATGTCATTTCAGGTGATAGCAAGACGCCTGTGGATGAATAATACACTAAAGGAAGCGGTGGACGCGCCTCGAATTCATCACCAAATTTATCCCATGGAAGTGTCTTATGAGCTCGGTATGCCAAAGCCAATCGTCGATGGATTACGAGCCCTTGGACATAAAACGCAACGCTATAGAAATCGCGGCAGTATCGTTTGCGTATTGGAAAAAGTTAATGGCACCATCTACGCGAACGCGGATTATCGCAAGGGAGGTGACGTTTACGGGATCAATTGAAAGGACCAAAAGTGACGATCAATTGTTATTTTACATTCCATCCGTTGCATAGAGTGTATTTGACCTTTTCCCGCTGCGATTATTTAAATTATAAGTTTAGCATTCAACGAATTTTATCAGCGATGAATCAGCGGTAAGCTCTAATTTTATAAATCAAGCCGTATTCTCGAGATTTTAGTGTATTTTAGAAACTGCGATTTGGTCTATCACTGAATTTTGATCAGCTATTTTGATCAATATTTTAACATTTATTCTTGCAAAATATAAGTTGGATAGATAAACCAATTAATAAAATTCAAAATAACAAAGATAAATATTTGTCTTTTTCAATAAACAGAAATTTTTATCTTTCAACGCTGAACGCATGTCACGTAAAATATGCCTAATAAGCCTTATAGCCTTATCGCATTGCATTTTTTACGTAGAACATATATTTCAAATTTGCGTATAAAGAAAAAAGAATCAAAAACCATTGCAGATACTAAAACGTTTGATATAACGATTCAAGAAAAATTATGACCGTCAATAAATTATTTCATTAGCTTCCAAATATTTTGATCTCCCTAATGTTAGTATTTAGATATCTTTTTTATCCAATAATATGTAATGAAAAAAAGGGCAAAAAGAAGTCTTATGACATTTCAGATGTCATTCCAAGTACACAAATAAATAATTTCATACGAAAAAAAATTTATGTAAATTTTAGATATGTTAGCGTTCACGCGTTGCTTTGCAAATATAATATAAATATTTATAATACATGATTGAATCTCCGTGTTTTTCTGCACTGCTCTGCAGCACTGTTATTGTCTGTTCCAACGATATACATATGCGCGCTATCCTTGACGAGAGTTGTAGACTCGCTAAAGCCTTGACGGATTGTAGATATTTACCATTTAAAAAGAAGTGTAAAAGTGAACTTTTACGATACAAACGTGTCAATATTATGCAAACAACGAGTGATCTGCATGTAACACAGATAAATCAGATAATTAATGCACCTTCCGTTCGTGCGAAAGTATGCAAGAGATTTTGGATTATTTTTTTACGAAATTTCAAGTATCTTTTTAACATATAATATTTTTGCGGCTTGCGGTTTTGACAATTCTATATGCTCGAATATCATTACTGGTTTATGAATGTGAAAATGTTTCAACGTTTTAATTTTTCTGATTTGTAAATTATAATAAACACTTGAATTTTGCCATCATATGCATGCTTAATATTATTCATTTACCCATTTTCTGATTAAGTTGAATCAATTGAAACGCTTGTTAAACAGTTCTTTCCGACAATCATGTTGTTTTACATTAACATAATAGTTTTATCACTGCTAATATTATTTTAATACACGGTGTCAACCTAAAGTTCTAAAAATAAATCAATACGCAATCATAATTGTTACACTATATTATCTTCTATTAACATAAAATACAATGTTAAATACGCAAAACATTCGGTTACTGTGTAGCATTTTAAATATGTTATTGCGATAAAGAAAATGATTATAAAACAAAAGTAATTTAGTTACATATATACTTACTAGACTTATTTGACTCATCAGATTTGACTCAGTCACTCAATCAACTGTTCTGCTCAGACTGACCAACTCAGTCTTGGAGTGCTGCATCAATTGCAGTAATCACAATCAACAATAAGTAACTTCGAGTTTGTGTGTTACGGTAAAATAAACGTATTAAAGCTGCAAAATTGATAATAATTGTTTTCTGTCATTTTTTTAATTCAATATGTAATCATTGTATCTAAATAAGTAATTTGATACATATCTACGAGATAAGCAAATAATGAGCTCCTGCTAAGGCTTAAGATATTTAATGAACCTTTTTAAAAGGTTATCTTATTTCCAATTATATTATTAAATATAGAAGCTCAATTGCGTTTTATTATACCATTCCAATCGAAGTCACAGTACAAAATTGAATAGTTTCATATTAAAATGAAGTTTCCACAGTAATCCAATATTTATGAGTGTAAAAATCCAATAGATATGCATTGTACAGCGATATATTAAAGAATCAACGTTACAACTTGACATTATTTTTCGTACAGGTCTTGAAATGTTTAAAGTAGCTACTTCCATTAGTAGTTGCTTCTCTAATTTTCATTCCTGCTGTTAAATAAATTTGCGGATTAATGCGCAATTCGATCGACCGGCGTAAGCAAAATGTGCTGTTGCTTGTTATCGTGCATTTTCGTCGGCAACAACTGAACTTGTTTTGCAGAAACTCGATGTGAAATGAATGTCAATCGCATCGATAAAATTGCTAGGAATTTCTCTAAAGTTATTGAGAATGAAATCGCAATATGTGAGAATCCACAAAAGTGAAATGCAAAGAGGGGCATTTGTCTTTTACTATATAGGATCGATTTTACAGAGCTTTTCACGATACACCTGCTGAATCAGCTCGTGGACTCGACACTTTCACGCGTTCGCGCGTGATTGGCCGCGCATTGTCTTTGAATTGATTTTAACAATATGCTGATAAGTGTCGATAGTTGAATGTTATTAGTGTACGCGGTGAGTCATTATGTAAGAACCGCGATAATACGGAAAAATATTTGAAACGTGTTAATTGCGCACAAAGGAATGATGAAATTCTGCAAGTTTCTGACGTGGCGAATGTTTGTCGTTATATCGCGTAAATGTCTGATAGACTGTCACAAGTAATATTTTCCCTAATCATAACAAGTTCACCATATGAAGCGTCGAACGTACACGTGACAATGCTGTTTTCACATGGAAACACAATCACTTTTAAGCTCGTGTAAATTATTATCTAGTCTTTATTATCCAATGAAATATATTCCTTAGCTTATTCGCCGTACGCTCACTTCGGCGTAAACCTCTATTTTGCAATCATTGAGCATTTGTACATCTTTTAATTTATAACCTCAGTGGCGCTTTATTATCATTCTGTGTATTTTGCAATAGTTCATATACCCATCCAGCGTCACGTGTGTTCGCTTTTTGACCGTAACTTCCCGAATCGACATATCTTCGACTCTCAAGAATGGAAAATTTAAAAAAAAAAGGTAAATTTTCCCATTATCAATAAATCAGATACAATCATAATATATTTCTGCAGAACAGTTAGCATCTAAATATGTATTAACGCGTAATTATTTCAGTTTTGAAAAGAAATCTCTCGTGATATGAGGCTTCTAGAAAAAAATGAACGCACATACAAGCAAAACTGATAGTCGGAAGGTTGTTTGAAAAAGCGGTGAGAAAATCGACTGCTAGCCAACACAATCAAGTGCATTATTGTGAGAATATTTCTGGATGCAGTAGAGCGGCCGGTGTGTGGGGCGTAGACCTGCGCATGGGTGGCTGTCGAGTAAAGGTCGGATACATATATACTAGACTAGGTGCAACGCACTTGTGCAACCCCATTTCACATTGGAACTGTTCTCGAGTATTCTCGAACGTGATTTTTCGTCTTTTCTCCAACCTCAAACAGTCGAAATATGAGTTGACATTGTCTTCAGGCGATATTTCAGCTTGATAGTACACAGACTAACAGGTCTAGTCAATAATGTCGATCCAGAAAACGTGATATAGAAAATTTTTGAAGCGGCGGACGTGCCTCTCGTCGAACTATCGTATTTTTATTCTTTACAGTTGGATTGATAGAGAGACCCACGCACGTGTGTCGTCGGGTATATCTTTGGCACGAGGCGCAGCAGCAGCAAAAGGCCGGTAAACCAGAAAGAACGTGATCCTACCTCTTACTTGCGTCTTCTTGCTCTCCCGCTTTTCCCCCACCCGACCGTGCCAGCTTGCTTGCTCTGCGCCTTTCCATCTTTGATGCGAGTAGCCTTCGAGAAATTGAGCACGTACGTGTACTGGCAAAATATTTGAGACTGTTTAAGTAATATTTGACTATCTTTGCGAGAAAGTACGCGAATATTTTCGTATGAGTCATCAATGCATTTTTTTATTTTCTATACAACTGTGCTAATTTTTGTTTATGCTCCCAAATTCAATTGACATAAAATTCCTTTCTAGAATTCTTTTACATCACACATGTACTTTGCAAGCACGTAATTCTTACATATATTTTTTACGTTATCTGCGTATTTTCTGAGACTTAATCGAGCTGTACTGAGTAACACATTTAATTTTGAATCAACGCGATGTCACGTAAAATAATGAATGTAACATGATCATTCTCTATAGTAGTTAAATAGTATGTCATACACGTGTATGTTATACAGATGATGTTCAGGTAAGATACTAAATAGGAAAACACGAAATAGTCCTTATAGTAGTTTTATGTACATAGTCATGTGCACAGAATAGATATACGCGTTCCCAGATTCCCGACAATCAGTTTATCAGGAAGGAAATAGTAGGGACTTCTAGCATCAACTATAACTAAGTACGTGAGTTCATCAAGCCATGAGAGTTCAGTTGTGCAGCAATCTCATCTTGTAATGAGAACTCTTAGGAGTCCCGTCGATTGTTTTTTTTTTAAATAAAGACATCTTTACTAGATATATGCCAACGTTAACGCCCAGATCCTAGCAAGTACCCGCATGCGCCTTTAAACTCGACCATTGCTACCGTAGATACCGTATGTTAATAACATCCGATAAAATAGGATGGCAGTGAAAAATAGCATTGAAAATTATAACATATGATTGAGACACAATGAATTTAAGGAAACAAACGAAGTAACATAATAACAAAGTTACGCATCGAAGAAATCCAATTCAAGTTTATCTATCTGGTTTAAGAAATAAGATTAAATACATCAAACTACACTGTTAACGTTTTTCATAGAATTAATTAAAAGGAAACGATCATTACAAATTGTGACCTAGTGAATGAGATAAATATAAGTATAATAGGATCTGCGCCAAAATATTTGTGAACCAACATATGAAGTAGTCACGATATTTAGTATAATTGTGCTTGTAACTACTATTTCCAAGTCGCTCTTGCTCAGCTAGCAGTTTAATAACAAAATAACAATAATATACACGTCCACATTCACGATACACCGGGCGTTAGAACAATATTTATAAACTACGCTGCTCCCGTGCACGTATGCATCACAGATATGTACATGAACACATACTGTACCGTCAAACTTGAAAACAGCACTGTGCGCAAGCGCATATAGATCTTTCGAGCTTGTTCGCCGGTAAATGAATACGCAATTACATAGCTAATACAGCTGATAAAAATTACACATATCTGTACATGTCTCGGCAATAAAGAAGCGTTAAATTTTTTTCGTGCACAGAATCTCGCAATACAGCGTCAATTTTACTTTCGTTGCGTAATTTCTCGAAGAAGAGAATCGTTACAAAAATTAAACAGTAATTCTGTTCGGAAAGGAGAAATGCGCTTGGAGAAGTCACGAACTGGTAAAACGGTTACACGCATGCGCCACGGAACGTCGGTTATAAAAGGTACGTCGCGGCTGTCGCCGCACCAGTATTGAACTGACTAGCAAAGCTATTTCTAATACTATTTTTGTCGTACTACTACTACATCTTTTTTTTCTTCAATATCCATTATACTGAGTCTTTTATACGACAACTGCGTTGTCTATTGACTGACGTTCAAGAGTGAACACAACAAAAAGTTTATTGAGTAGTTTTATCTTTTGCGTATCAAAAGAACACAAAGAAAACATTCGAATATGTCGGAGCAGCATTTTGATGAATACGAGCACTTCAACTACGATCACGATAAGCACATCTTCACTGGACATAGCGGCAAGCAACGGAGTAAGCGTGAGGCTGACCAGCACACCAACCACTACGATCCCAGTGGACATTCTCGAAAAATCCTGACTAAGCTCATGAACTCCGAGCACAATAAGCGTGCTGTCAAGAGCAAATCGTAAAGCTACTCGATAGCGGGTAAATGTTTTTTTAATTTATTTATTTTTAATGATAATAAACTAGACATAAATAGAATCTAACGATTAATCATCAACATTTCAACTAGCTATTCAGTTATCGATTTTGGATGTGAATTCGAAATCAATTCTCTAATCTAAAATACTAAAATATCGATTTAATCGGTTAAAACAAAGACCTTTCTCTGCCTTGTCTGTTTTCTTTTTGTTGCGCCGTAATTTTGTTCGAACGGGTCATAAAGATGGCGCTCGGTACGGATTTTTTTTTTCAAGAATTTCGAGGTCTGAACCAACTACGTCTTTTTTTAAATTGAT